AGAGCCCAGATGTCAATTAACAGATGAGTGGATAAAGAAGATATGGTGTATATATATATATATATATATATATACACACACACAATGGAATACTACTGAGTCATCAAAAAAATGAAATCTTGCCATTTGCAATGATGTGGATAGAACTCAAAGATATTATGCTAAGTGAAATAAGTCAGTCAGAGAAAGACAATTGTCATGTGATTTCATTCAAATGTGGAATTTAAGAAACAAAACAGCATCATAGGAAAAGGGAAGGAAAAATAAAACAAGACAAAATCAGAGAGGAAAGCCTGGGTGGCTCAGTTGTTAAGCGTCTGTGTTCGGCTCAGGTCGTGGTCCCAAATTCCTGGGATTGAGCCCCACATTGGGCTCCCTGCTCAGCGGGAAGCCTGCTTCTCCCTCTTCCACTCCCCCTGCTTGTGTTCCCTCTCTCGCTATGTCTCTCTCTGTCAATAAATAAATAAAATCTTAAAAAAAAAAAAGAAATCAGAGAGGAAGAACAAACTATAAGGGACTCTTAATCATAAGAAACAAACTGAAGGTTGCTGGGTTGGGGGATGGAGTTACTGGGTGATGGACATTGGGAAGGGCGCATGATGTAATGAGCAGTGGGTACTAGTGGGACTGATGAATCAATGAACTCTACCTCTGAAACTAATAATACATTATACTTAATTGAATTTAAAAAATAAATACTAAAAAAAGTATTCATTCTTTATAAAAATCTAATATAAGTTACTACTGTTAACATTTCTCAGACAACTCAAAGACTTTAGAACACTTTAACACCATTTATAACCCTCCCATCCTTTGTTTATTTGTGTATTTTAATTTTGAGGCTGTAGGTAGTCCTTGCTTTGCATGGTTCCAATATGCATAATATGAAGTTACCATTATTTAGTTAAATTTAAATAATAGCTGGTCCTGGCAACATAGTTCAAGTTGTGGCTACCATAATATATTAACTGTGAATAACTGCACAGAGTACAAACTTTGCTGTTAGCTCTTCAATATGTGCATCAATATGTAAATAACAAATGCATATCATGATAGGTGACCAATTATACCACTTCTTTCAAAGTCATTGGTGATTGGTCACTGAGCATCTGTTATTCAGTTGCCTCCTTGTCTTCCAGTGATAAACCCATATGACATTTTATAGAAATGGATAATTGAAAGAGGGAACTGACCAGCTGAGATGAAAGAGCAGCAAAGAAACAGAATGTGATAATGCTGGAAGTGAAATTTGAATTATATGTAAATGGAGTCATAGGAGAAATAGCTGACCTCGTGAATGTTGATACTGCCACTGTTTGAGAGACTCTAGATATTCAATCAAAAGAACTTAGTGAAGGCAAATTATTGACATCAATGAGAAAAGTGGTTGCAAATAAAAGGATGAAGATGTCCCAAAATAAATGATGCTGATAAAAAAAATCACATTAAAGGAACTCTTAGAAATATTTTATGACATTGAAAGAGCAGAGAATTAAATTTTGGAAGCTGATCCAGATCTAGAAAGAAGTATGACAATTTGCCAAGACATTGATAGGATGCTCTTGCAAGTTACATAGCAAAGAGAAAAAAGGCATGCACTGTTCAAACTACGCTTGATACGTTTGGTTTTTTTTTTACAATGAAATAAAATATTTTAGTTCTAAATGTTTTTAAAGTTTAAAATTACAGTGTATTGGGGCACCTGGGTGGCTCAGTTGGTTAAGCGGCTGCCTTTGGCTCAGGTCATGATCCCTGGGTCCTGGGATCGAGCCCCACGTCCGCCTCCCTGCTCAGCGGAGAGCCTGCTTCTCCCTCTCCCTCTGCCTGCCACTCTGCCTACTTGTGTTCTCTCTCTATCTCTGTCAAATAAATAAATAAAATCTTTAAAAAAATACAATAAATTTACAGTGTGTTAAATAAGTATCAGTTTACTATTTTTCCTTTCCCTATACATTTATAACCAATAGAAAGAAAGGTTTTACTGTTTTGATAAAAACTTTTAAAAGTCACAATCACAACTTTTTTCACTGATTATTAAGATCACTTTGCAGGGGCGCCTAGGTGGCTCAGTCGTTAAGCATCTGCCTTCAGCTCAGGTCCTGATCCCAGGGTCCTGGGATCGAGCCCCGCATCGGGCTCCCTGCTCAGTGGGAAGCCTGCTTCTCCCTCTCCCACTCCCTCTGCTTGTGTTCCCGCTCTCACTGTGTCTCTGTCAAATAAATAAATAAAAATCTTAAAAAAAAAAAAAAAAGATCACTTTGCATAGTTTCAGCATGCAGTTTCATGATCCTGCACCATCATGCTGTGCAAGAATTGCCTATATTTTAAGCCCAGTAAGATATTTTTTGTTTTGTTTTGTGTAGCCAAGGTTCATTTTTATTTACCTTTTCTATTGTTTTTCATTTCCTTCTGTACTTCTGTGCTACCACTTAGCATTATTTTCCTTTAATGTTAAAATTCCCTTTAGTAGGTTCTTAATATGAGCCTAATGGTAATGAATTCTCTTGATTGTTATTTGCTTGAAATGTCTTTCTTTTGCCTTTAATTTCAAAGAATACTTTTGGTGGGTTGGCAGGTATTTACCATTGTTATTTTTGTTGTTCTCATTGTAGGTATCTTTCTATTGATTTTATGGATCCTATCTTTTCTGTTGAATGAATAATCAGCTATCAATCTTGTTGCTACTTCTTTGAAAGTTTGTGTGTATTCCCCCCCCCCCTTGGATGCTTTTAATAATTTTCACTTTGTCTTTGGGTTTTTTTTTTTAAAGATTTATTTATTTATTTTAGAGAGCATGCATGGGTGGGGGGAGGGGCAGAGGGGGGAGACAGAGAGAAAGAGAAAGAGAGAGAGAGAGGAATCAGACTCCCCACTGAGTGGGGAGCCCAACATGGGGCTCGATCTCAGGACTCTGAGATCATGACCTAAGCTTAAACCAAGAGTTGGACCCTTAACTGACTGAGCCACCCAGGCACCCCTACTGTGCCATATATTTTTAAATTTTCTTTTTTCCTCCATGCTGCAGGCTGGATATATTCGTCTGACTTATCTTCCAGATTACTAATTCTCTTTTGAGCTGTGTCTAATCTGTTGTCAAACTCATGTGTTTAGATTTTATTTCAGTTATTGAATTTTTAAGTTCTTGTTTTGATTTGATCCTTTTTATAGTTTCTAATTCTATTTTGAAATTCTCTATCTTGTTTTTAAAATTTTGAATATCTTAATTTTAGTTACTTTAAAGTCTGTGCCTGATAACTCCAGTACTCCAATATTTGAATCTTCTGTAATCATTTTCTGTTGTTTGTTTTCTTCTCTTGATTTTTTTCCATATATTCTTGTTTTGTTTTGTTTTGTATGCCTGTTATTTTTATTGATTTAAAGCTAAGCTTTAGCCTTCATGAGGGCTGATCTATTTCCCATTATTCCATACTTCTGGGATGAAGCTTTTTAGGGATCCGAGTTAAAATCTTGTGATGTTTGTTTACGAAGGAGCCATCTTACTTTGTAAGCCCTGAACTCCAGTTTTTGGTTTGCTAGCCCTATGAGATTTCCTAAACTTCTGTTCAACATCAGTCTCTCAGTTATTGCTTATAATTCACAGAATACCTCAAGAGGAAAACAATCAAATGTTGTTTTTGGGATTTGCTTCTCTCCCCTTAAATCCACTTAAAGATTTTTTTCCCTATCTATCTTCTCTAGTTACTTTCAGATAATGATTGATCTGATGTAAGCTTGCCTACCATAGCTGGAAGTAACATTCTGAGCCTCAGTGTCCTTGAAAGCAGTATAATATAGAGAATAGGGTAAGAATTTTTGAGTAAGACATTTAAGGTATAAAAATTCTGCTCTTACCTCCTCATAACTGTGTGACTAAGGAAAACATATATATCCTCTATGAATTTATGTTTTTCTTATATAAATAATGGAAAAAAATAATCTCTACTTGATAGGTTTGTTTTTTGAGCCTTAAATGAGGGGGTTAAGTACAGAAAAAAATGTTTAGTATAACATCTAGAACATAGTAAGATTTCTTTTTAAAGATTTATTTGAGAGATAAAAAAGTAGAGGGAAGGGCAAAGGGAGAGAATCTTTCAAGCAGACTCCCCACTGAGTGCAGACCCTCATGGGGGGGCTCGATCTCATGACCCATGAGATCAGGACCTGAGCCAAAACCAAGAGTCAGACACTTAACTGACAGCCATCCAGGTGCCCCTAGAACATAGATAATACGTATTTTTGTTTTTTCAAGAAAATAATTAATATTTCATAGTATTTCATAAAATTAAATGGCTGCTTAGAAGAATGTAATGTGATTATGTACAACTTTTAATTGATTGTAATGTACTAGAGAAATAAAAACAGAATAATTACTTATGAAGTGCACTGCCTGGTTTTAATGTGCTAGGCACAGGATTACATGCATTATATCATTCAATATTTATACTAACCATATGAAGTTGAAGCTCTTATTACCCTTATTTTACAAATAAGGAATGTGAGACTAGGAAAGATTACATGATTGTGCAAGGTTAGGTAGTGAATGGGCAGAGAAGCCAGGGTTCAGATCTGATTCTAACCAACTCCAAGGCCAGAGTTCCTAAAGCCACTTCTTTTCTAATCCCTTGAAACTACATTTCTCTTTCCTAATTGAGAAAAAATGTTAGATTTGCAGAATCTTGCACAGTCCTGGAATCAAGTCAGTAGTCAGTAATTATTTATTGACTCATCAACATCCACACCAATGAAATCTGCTGACACAGTAGTAATAGAATGAAATGACAATTTAAGAAGAGAACTTCTAGTTTTGTCTTTACCTTTCAACCATGGAAGTGGAATTTTGGATGGATTAACAAACTGTGAGAACCAGTTAAGAATTTAATCATAAATGGAAGTTTTGACCCATGGTCAAAAACCCAGCTGTTACAACCATCTAGAGCCCTAGAATTATCAATCAAGACTGGCTATGGTGGAGTCTATGCTGCACTTTTCATTGTACTTACATGTGGGTCATTTTACTCAAATTGTAGAAGGAATGTGATTCCAGCCGCTGCAGAGTTGCATCTATTGACAAGTAGCTGAATGTCACAAAAATATAAAGCAAAGTAGAAAGTTAGTCAGGTTGTGAATGCCATACATATCTCAAACATTAATCTTAATAAAACTTCTTTGTCCAGGGCTTCCCAGATCAGGCAACATGATTTCTCCCTAATTATGTTAAAATTAGTTATACTTTTTTCAGATCCCGTGATACCTGAAAGCTTCCCAATTCTTTAGGTCCTATTCATCTCTAAGGTTTCACTCAACTGATACTTCCTTCAGAAGCTTTTCCTGACTTTCCCAATTAGGTCAAATTTCCCCTAAGTATACCTCATTATACCAAGAACTCCTTTCACTAATTATCACAGTGCAACTGTCTTATTGTTTGGATAATATTTGATTTATGTTGTCTGATTAGGCTATATATTCTCTGAATTGGAGAACTGTGTCTGTTTTGGGTGGCCTTTGAATTTTGAGTGCCTTTCATAGTGTAAGGCATGTAGTAGACTCTCAATAAATGTGTTAAGGTAATGAATGAATGGGTGAATAGATGAGTTACTCAAAATAGCAGAAAATGAAAGACATTAGAAAGGAACACAAGAATTAAAAAAGAGGCATTATTAATGGAGTATGTGATAGCATGGGATTAGAAATACAGTTTCAGAGATGAGAAATCTATAATTCTCCAGGGGAACATTCCATAGGGTGGTGACTACATATCCACTCAAGACTTTTCTTCTTTATTTTGATGAAGCAGAAAATTCAAGATTTGTCTTGAACTTTGTAAGCAAAAGATAACTCAAATAAAAGTTTTAAGTATGAAAAGAGAAAAGAGAAACTTCTAAGTACAACTTGTCAAGAATACATAGGGAATATTGTTTTGAAGAGTCTCCACAAATTCTATTCCTGTAATGAGAATGACTAACGCAGCCAAATTCAATGATTGTTTTTTTATTGAGAGGCATCTCTGATATTTGGGAAAACTCAGAATTAATAAATGGTATCCACTTGTAGTCACAGCAGAGATTCTCAACCCTGGCCATAGAGTTGAACTACCCAGGAAGCTTCTAAAATTTACATATGTTCAAGACATAATCCAGGATAATTAAGTCAGAGTTTACGAGGGATGAGGTGCAAATACTTTTATTTTTAAAATGCTTCCTCAATGATTCCAATGTGCAGGCAGGGTTGAGGACCACTCATCTATAGTTTGAATTAAGTCTGTCAGCAAAATACTTTCATTAATACAATGTTTATGAGAGGAGTTCTGACTGTTCCATTTGAGTTTCTGCCATGGTCATTGTGAATATTCTAATGGTCCTGTACTTTCTGTTTTGATTTATCTATTCTCCAAACAATTATCCTTTATCAGGTCCCCCAAGCCATTGCCACTTGTGGATAACATTATGTAAATTATTTTGATCCAAATATATCTTTAACATAGTGGAAACAATGGAAGACATTGAAAAGATTAATTTATTGTGTAGAAATTGCAGAGATTTATAATGGATGAAGCTGAGCCATCTGAAGGACAAGATTAATTTTGAAGACTGCAAACTTGTTTTCCTAAATATTACATCATACCTATTGCTCTAAATTTTCTACTGAATTTCTTAGTTTAGAAGATGAAGTTTTCTCAAGGGGTTACTGGGATGGTCATTCTGCCCATGTCATAATAACTGAAGTTCCAGTTCTCCAAATGAATTATACATCCTCAAAGGGCTCTTACAGCTCAGTTGTGAAGACAACATGTAGGAACCATTTATTCAGTGGGATGAAAGAAGTGATTCCCTGCTTGCTTATCCCATTTTTATAAACAAGAAAAATCAGATCCCACCTCTTCCTCAAATTTCTTCTTTAGCCTATAAGTCTTATGTAATCACTAGGGTGACCATATCATTTATCATCCAAACTAGGATATTTTTGTGAGTTACACAGGCTGCTATTAATAATTATACCTGAATAATAGGTTGAAATTTGTCCTGTCCCAGGCAAACCTATCTAGGATCACCCAAATGATTTCTCTCTTGCCCCCTAGACATACCAGATCTTTAACGATTACTTATGTATATCTGTGTGCTTTCATTCAACAGATATCTGTTGAATATTTACTCTATGTCAGTAAATGGGCATTGACAAAACAGATCTGTTCCCTAGCTTCAAGGAACTCACAGTAGTGGGTAATATAGGTAAGTAAATGGGATTAACATGTAGAGTGATGAGTGCACTAATGTGGTTCAGGGAACACTTAACCAGACTGGAGAATCCAGCATAGTTTCCATGGAGGAAGTCTCAACAAGGCCTTCAAATCTGCCTGGGTGTCCTGGCAGGAGCCAACCCTCCCTCTTTTATTGCCCATCACTTTTATTTTAAACCTCGTATTTCTAACTCTTCACCCTCAATATTAGCAGATTATCTTTTAATAATTTGTAGAAAAGACTGAAACCTTGAGATAAGAATTCCTAGAATTCTCCACCACGAAGCCTATTAATTTACCTGTACCTGCCTCCTCCCTTACTACTACTTTCTTGTGACAGTATAAAAGATGACAATCTTCCTGTAGCAAGTCAATTGCTCTATTTGAATACCATCCCTTCTTGCTTTCTCAGGGACCTCATGCCTTAAAGTTGTTTGTTCTTCACTCTCCTTAGCCTCTCCCTCTCTACTGAAGCCCTTCCCTGGTCTCAGTTACATCTGCCTGTTTGTGACTCTCAAATCTCAAAAAAACCCCTACGCGAGTCTTCCCTGAGCATCCCCCATACCCAGCACTTCCAGTCCTCCTTACTCTACTTTGCTTTTTTCTTTTTACCATACCCATTATTCCCTTCTAAACTAGTATATATTTATTATGGTTTTGGTTTATTGCCCATTTCCTTCCATTCAAATGTAAACCCCATAGGGGCATCAATCTTTGTCTGTTTGTTTCCTGATGTATCTTCATCTCTTAGAACAGAATAAATATTTGTCAAATGCATGAATAAAAAATTATGTCTGTGTCCTGATGTCTGCTGGACATAGCTTGCTTGATGCCTCAAAGGCACCTCAAATGCCATGTGCCCCAAATTGAACTCCTAACTTGCTCCCTGACCCTCCACAGCAAATCCACAGAAAACTTCTCTAGTGCAGCAAATATGCTCATCAGCTACACACATGTCCTAGTCAGACACTTGGATGAAATTCTTCTCCATCTCTCTCCACCTCCAAATCAATCAACTTTCCAGTTTGTTGGTTCTCTCCTATTTATTTCTCACACACGGCCACTTTGTTTTCCCTCAACCATCATCACTCAGTTCACAATCCCCTCTTCCCCAGGACACTGCATCAACCTCCTCACTAGCTTCCTGTCTCCAGTCTTACTCCATTTGACTCCCTTTCTACAGCACAGGGGAATGTTTCTAAAACACCTGATCTGTCCCTTCCCTGCTTATAACCACTCAGTGGGTTGGCCCCTAGGGAAGATTTCAAACTGCTTTACATGGTTCACAAGGCCCTGAACTTGTTTATTCCCTGGTTTCATTTTTCTCTACTGCCCTTCTCCCAGCTTAAGCTCCAGCCTCAACAAATTTATTTTAATTTAACCGACAGCTCAGCTTTTCCCTTCTGCTTGGAACTATCTTTCCACCTCCCCCCGCCCATCCCACCACCCAGATAATGCAGATCAAAAGTTAGGTGTCATTTTCTCCAGGAAGCCTTCCCTGACCACACTTTCCATCCAGGTAACATGCTTCTTGTATGAGTTCTATAGCACTCTATGACTGACCCTATCATAGCACTATCACTCTCTTAGGAATGAAAGTGGAAGCTGTATGAGTATTGTCAGCTGTTGTATGTGAAGCATCTAGCAAAGTGCCAGACACAGAGTAGGGCTCAATAAATATTTGTTGAATGAATGAATAAAGTAATTGTCAAGCTATTGGGACATCCAAGTAGAGGCACCAAATAGGCAATTATATAGGAATTGAGGGAAAAAGAAGAGCTAAAGGGGAATTTGAGGTGTTTAGCTTATAGGTCACTAAATGGTCATGCCATTAAAGAGAGAAGGAAAAGGAACAGTTTAGCAGGAAGATGATGGGTTTATTTTGGATTTGCTGTTTAAAGTGACTGTGGGACATCAAGATGATGATACTTGGAAGGAAGCTTTTATTTTTATTTATTTTTAATTTTTTAAAAGATTTTATTTATTTATTTGACAGACAGAGACATGGCGAGAGAGAGAACACAAGCAGGGGGAGTGAGAGAGGGAGAAGTGGGACCCCCACGGAACAGGGAGCCCGATGTGGGGCCTGATCCCAGGGCCCTGGGATCTTGACCTGAGCCGAAGGCAGATGCCCAATGACTGAGCCACCCAGGTGCCCCAGAAGGAAGCTTTTAAAGCAGGCCTGACTTGTAGGAACAAATCAGGGCTGGAAATGTTCATTTAGGAATTAGTTGTGTTACATAATAGTGAAGCCAAAGGAATGGGAGTGTTCCTTCAAGGAGAGGAGGGTATAAAGGAACTGAGACAAACTAAAGAATGAATTGATCTTTAAAGAATTGAATGAAATGAATAGGAAGCTAGGAAAGGAGACTGAGGAAGAGTAGCTAAGGTAAGATGTTAAAAAGAAGGATGACAGCAATATCCAGGAAATCAAAGAAGACAAGAATTTGAAAAAGGAAACACTGGTCAGGAAAATAAAAGACTGCAGAGCTGTTTAGCAGGATGGTTTCTCAGCTTCAGCATTGCTGACATTTGAGACTAGAAAATCCTTTGTTGCAGAAGGATATTCTGTGCCCAGTAGGGTGTTTAGCAGATCCTTTGCTCTACCCAGGAGATGCCAGTAGTCCCCTCCTCTAGTAACAACTAAAAATGTCAAAACCCCCTGAAATGACACAATAGACAATAAATGGTCATGAAATGAATGAATTTAGCCCAAATCAATACAGGTTGTTCCTGGTTGTATTGTCATTTAGTGTGCCTGGATTATCTTCATTGCTTGTCAGAATCCATTAAACAAAATAAGGCCCTGGTTCATTTCATATACAGTTATACTCTTGTCAACTCAATATGGAAGTCCTTTTTATCCTTGCTCTTGAGTGTATAGCAATTCAGTTTTCTAAGGTTTAGAATTATTTTTGTGTGTTTTTTTTTTTTTTAAGTGAGAGAAGTCTGACATCATTACCTATGTTTCTGACAAAACGTAAACATTTTCCTAGTGGTAAAATCAACTTTTTGGTAACTAGGGGAGATGGACTAGAGATCGTTACATAAATCTGTTTATGGGGGAGATTCCTGGCTAAGGTTTTACCACATCCCAAGATACATTAAAATACATTGAGAATTATTAAATTCTCAAGACCAAATTTGCATTAGAAAGAAAGCATTTAGGAATTTGGGATTAGAGATATCACAAAATCAAATAAACATCTTGTACATAAATTTTTCACATACATTGGAGATGTAGTATTGACCTATACAAGTACAATATATATCAAGTATTTGTCTTGATAAAACATATTTAAAAAATAACATGGCACAGTTGCAAACTTTTATTTATATTTTAAAAAATGACTTACATCCTGGAAATATTGGGCAGATTTGAAAATGCAAGACTGGGAATGGTTTTCAGATGAGTTTCTGTAAACTTCCTGTGAAAATAACATTTACACAATTAGAGTTTTAATCATTGGATTTTTATAATAAATCATCTTAATTACAAACAATACATTATTAAAAGCATGCTGGTCCTTATGATATATATTTTATCATACATAATCAAGGAAAAACAAACATACAGTTTTCCCCCAACAAAACAAGAATTGAGAGTGAGATTCAAATGCAGAAAATAAAACTTCAAACATCATTTTTGAATTTGCAGTGAACTCGTATGCCTTGTTTGACATCATATTCAAATTATTAACTGGAGGCCAATATAACATATTCATAAGTTTATTAGGACTACTGAATACACATCATGCACATGTCAATGGAAATGTCTTGGAACGCCATTGGAATATATATGAAGAGCATATTAAGAGCATTAAATGCATGTGATATATCTTGAAGATTAAAAATAGTGGTATGGTTACAATCTTTTTGTCCAACCAAAGATCTCTTCAGTCATTACCTTGAGCTTATCATCTACTTGCTACAGTTTGGAAATAACTGACTGACAAGGAGCTAATTCTCTTGTGACATCTTTATTGCATATGCAATTTAAAGGTTGTGGCTTTTCTTCCAGTTTGCTTTTTTGGATACTTTTCAGAAGGCCGAGATTATTTTCCTTATAGGTAATAAGACATCTTCATGCATTTCAGGATGTCTGTCCACCAAGATGTTCCTTTTTTTTTTTTTTAAGATTTTATTTATTTATTTGTCAGAGAGAGAGAGAGAAAGAAAGGGAGAGCACAAGCAGGGGGAGTGGCAGGCAGAGGGAGAAGCTCCCCACTAAGCAAGCAACCCAATGCAGGACTCCATCCCAGGACCCTGAGATCATGACCTGAGCTGAAGGCAGACGCTTAACCAACTGAGCCACCCAGGCATCCCGAGTTGTTCCATTTTTGACTTCCTTTTTTTGATATTGCAACTGCTTGATAGAATCCTGTAGGGAAGAAGGTGTCCCAACTCACTTTGCAAAAAGACAATGCCTCACTACACTTACCATCTTCTTCATGGGTCTGTTTTTGCCATATAAATATGAGTAATCACATATCACCCATTTACTACCTTATTTAAAGATATTAGACTAAAATTGTGTGTTTCCGTTCTAGGCTGCAGTGTTTTTTTTCTCAACAATCTATTTCCTTGATCTCTGAATTCTTTGAACTATTAATTTTTGCAGTCATTGAAATGCATTTGGAACTTCTGGTTTCTGGTTCTGGAAGCCTGGAAGTCACTTCTCCCTCTTAACAATAAGTAAAAAGCTGAACAGATTGAACAGACTGAAAACTCAACAACTATTCTAGGAGAAGGGAAGACACAGGGCAAACTGCTCTTCCCAAGACAGCCAGGCAAATGAAGGTAGTCCCCGACTCCCAGAACAGAGACTGATGTGTGGAAACCACAGGGAGAACCAGTGTCAGGGTAGGAAACCTATACTGGGATTGATGAATTGCTGGAGGCACAGTGCTGATAAATTTCCAGGGGGACCTGGTCATAGGTCCACAATTTTGTAAGATTTACCTCCAGGAGCTCAAACAGGTTCTAATGGTAAGCATTAGGAAAAAAAAAAATCCCCTTGATGTTTCTGGCAAAGGGAGGGGAAAAGGAAACATTTGGAAATATACCAGAGCACACAGTTCTTACCAAGGGCTGCCCTCAGGGGACACTATTAACTGGAGCCTGACCTGGGAACAGTCCTGTGCTACTAAGGGGAGAGAAAAAAAAACCTGAGAAACACTGGTAAAGTTCAGAGTCTGGAGGCACAGGCTCACTAAAAGACTGAGACCTAATCACAAGACTATAGAACACTTCCCCTCCCCCAACACCTCACCGTCACATTACTAATGGCCTTATATTTATAGCAGTTCCTTTTACCCAGTATATCATGTCTGTCTATCAAGAAATATATCTGCCTAATTGATGCATCAGCAGGACCAAATTAGTTTATCACAGGATCTATTAACTTGGGGGAGGGGAGGTGATGTGAATGACAAAAGGGTAAATTGTTAGCTCTTGGTGTTTCAGCATGAAGCCCAATGCTGCCTTAATGTTTTCAAAAATTTAAGTCCCATAAATTACCCACCCTTCCTCATAGGTCTCCCACTTACATTCCCTTAATTGGATTGATTAAAAGCTGTTGGTCCAGATCCAAGATTCTGAAGTTAAAAAAAAAAAATGAGAACAACAAATCATTCGATTAAAATCTCCCAGGAAAATTGGGCCATGCCAAAGGAAAACAAAGGATAAGATACACACCTGTTGGGTATCACCCAAGGAGATTGAGTTTCTCAAGCTCAAAGGTAGTCCTATGTATAGAGCATGTCCTAAGGCGTGGATCTTGAGGGCATACTTATCATAAGGCGCACATACTAGGTAATGTGGACCTAATTTGTAACTTTCATTGGCTAAAAATTGAGGGGTTTATTTGTGTTCAGAAGAAAATGACATATTTAGAAAATTCATGTAAGTTTACAATGGTATCTAAGAAGTCTGACTTAGAACAGAAATCCATCTAAATGCAATTTAATAGACTCTGAGTAAAAGATTCAAGATTCAAATAATGTTTATATCCTTTCCCAATGTACGAATTTCTGAAATATATAATTCATGTTTCTTGAATTCTCTCTGTCACACACATATAAACACATACACACTTAAATTTTTAACAAAGATCTTTTCCCTACTACTGATTAAGTTACATTTAATGGAGTTCAGGGCACACTATCCCAAAACATGGTAATTTAGCATATGGAACATTTTAAGCTGGAGGAATTTGAGAAACAGCAGGTGTAGGAAGGACTCTCTGATCCCTCTTCTTCTCTGAAACAAGTCATAAGACCCTCTTGTGAGAGGTGCCCTGACTATAGCCTTATCTCTGAAAATACCAAAGGAACCTGAATGAAAAAACCTTGCTAAGCTTCCTTCAGTTCATTACCCTTAGTTCATACCCTTTGGTTCTATCACCATGACTTTCCATTCTTCCTCAAACCAGCATAAAAATGCTCAGGTTTAATCACTTCTTTGGGTCTTCATTTCTTTATGAAGGCTTTTGTGACACATGAAAAGATTATATTAAGTAAATTTTTATGTTTTTCTCTTGTTAATCTGTCTTTTGTTACAAAGCCCCAGCTGAGGAACTAGAAGGGTAGAAGGAAAAACATACTATTTTCCTCCCCTACAGTTTCTGGTGATGGGGATTGGATAATAAAAGGCTGGGATACGCCACTCACCTTGGACACTGCAGCAGAGGTCTGGGACAAATGACAGAAAGCCAGTAGAAGGTAAGAATTCTTAACATGTCAGTTTCCTAGATCTCTGTCTTAGTGCTTAGTCGAGAGAGGAATGTAAATATTTCTCCTTGCCCTTTCCTTTCCAAATTCAGGTTAGCAGGAAATAATATTTGTAAGAATTAGTTCTTTGGACTGTGACCCTTGTGAGTTTAGTTTTGAGTACCCATTGTATATTGATCCTTTCCCTCCAGGGACAGGTATTGCTTTCCTGTTTGTTTGGGTTTTTTGTTTTGTTTTGTTTTGTATCCTGAGAGCCTTGCTTGGCTTTTTACCTGCCAGGATATGCAGGTCATTGGTTACCTTTTAAGAAAGTTGCCTAGGAAACAAAGATTCTGTGTTTTATCAAAATAATTTCTTGTGCTTCATGTTGTCTTTATTAAGTCTTTTTATTACTTAAGAAAATCTAACCTTCTTAATATTAAAAGAGTGGAGGGTTTTGTTCACAACTGTGTAACCATCTGTATTTGCCTTTAAAATGCTTTATCATCACTCTGGCTAAATAGATGACCAGGATCTTATTTAATTAAGTGTTCAAATCTTTTGACATATTTGACAAATTTCCCAAAATCAAATTCTAAATAAAGTCTTTTTTAACTTTGAACTAACTTTGAGCTTTTCCAGAGGATCCCTGCAAAGCAGACTTAAAAAGAGCCTATATATCCAATCGTCTTTTCTTGTTGCACTTGTATAAATAATTAGGCCAAGTTTAATAAGACTAGATTTATTTTTGCAAATAAAAATAGTCTTGGATTGTCTTTGGTAGAAATGGAGGTGACTGTAGAAAAATGTTGTTTCAGTGAAAAAGTATTACCTGCCGTTGTGAATGTTCATTATCTTTGAGCTATTTTTCATCTTCTTGTAAATTGGATCCTGCCGTTTTTGCATTTTGTCAGTTGTTAATGTATCCAATGTTTTTCCCACCTTCCTGACTTGGCATCACCAGAAATAAAAACTACCTATTTCCCAAAGTCCTATAAGCTGAAGCTGGATGATGATAAAAACTTTTAGGGAATCACAATAACAGATCATGTATGGGCACTCTTTGTACCTATGGCTGTTTAGGTCACCCAAAAATTTCACCAGAATGTCCAATGCTATCACCAGAGATACTCAAACTACAAACCCAAAATTTTATCAATCGTTACTGCCTGTCCTTACTACCTTACCCAACATCTAGAAATCTTGACTAACTGCCCTCTGGATTCAAAAACTGAATTTATAGTTTGTTGGAACCATTAACTTTTGTTTTACTTTTATTTCCTCAGAAATGTCCCTCCTTAAATGCCTGATTATTAATACCATTAGCCTAACTTAGGTGGGTACTCTTACTCTCACACATATCACCACCTTCTGAAATGGAACAACTCTTTAGGACTGACCTATTCCTAGGATTGAGGGACTGGTTCACTGGGATATGGGATGATCTATCAACTAAGTTTCTGGACTGTCAAACTTCTTGGGGAAAATTTCAGACGGGAGAATAATGGGGTTCAGAATATGCTACCCCAAAATATGATACCTTGGCCTATTTAATATTTTAAGCTGGAGGGATTTGAGAAACAGCAGGTTCAGGAAGAACTCTCTGACCCCCCTCTCCCTGCTGAAGCAGGTCATTAAGACTCTCATATGAGAGGTGCCCTCCCTGTATCCAGAGGAAAGGAGCAACCTTATTTCTGAAGACAGAAGGATGCCAAGGG